TGACGTAACCCCAGTTCTATGAACCAAGCACAATCATTTTTATTTATTTCAGAGTTTCACTCCCTATTTTTTAATCAGGCGACCCAAAGTTTGGGAAATGCTGCCATAACATTTCCTACAGGTTTCCTCATGGTTCTATTTAAAGTCATGTTCTCAAAACATTCAGAGAACGTTAAGAAACAACGTTCTTCTGTGGGAATTTCAGTACTTCAGCATAACGTTTTCTGCAGGCTTCCTCATGGTTCTATTTAAAGTAAGGTTCTCAGAACATTAAGAAAACGTTTCATGAAATCCACATGAAAACATGAGTAACGTTCAAAGAATGTTCTAATAATGTTATTTAAAAACAAACAGAATACATTCCATTCTTAGCATCAACAAAACTCTCACTATCCTCTATCTTGTTAAGTGTGTTCAGGTGTGTTGGCCACTTCCACTAATTGGCCACACCTGATCTTAATGAGTGCTTTTTTCCTTTGAAATAGGATCTGTTTGAATAAACTAAAATGAACAGCTTTGTATGAGTAAAAAAACACATGGCATGCTAGCTCCATCCTGGTGCCGCAGTGGACTAATTCCATGGATAGACCAGAAGATCATAGGTTCGAATCTTACAGACGCCATGCCACAATAAAACATTAATGGGTTTGCATGATTACTGCCTAGGTAAATGAATTTCTATTTGTGCTTGGAGTTCACAACAACTAAACTAGCAGTGCTATTTTAAAGTCTTTTTAAACATGTTCTCAGAACATTATTTAATTACCTCCCAGGAAAACATTCAGGGAACCATAGTAAAACATTATCTGAACCTCTTTGCAACTAAGAAATGTATTTTCCCAGTATAGGAGAATATATCTGTAAGTCGCTCTGGATAAGAGCGTCTGCTAAATGACTAAAAATGTAAAATGTAAATGTATTTCACTTTCGTTAAAAAGCTTTAACGGTCAGGAAACGTACGGCTTCGTTCCCAGAACCAATGGAAAACCAAAAATGTACGTTCCCACAACTTCCAAGGAAACAAATGTGCTAGCTGGGATATCACAGTCAAATATACAGGATAGGAACATTACATTTCAGCTAAACAATGGATTCATAGCATTATGCAACAAAAAAAATGAAATTCTTCTAAAATCTAGGAATTAAAAATCTGAGAACAGTAATATTTTACAAACACATGAAGGTACCCATAAGCAATCATTTCTGATGAAATAAAAAGATGTGAAAAATATGTGGATATATTGTTTTGGAAATAAACCTTTCAAATACTTCTCCATGATCAAATCAAATGATGTCTACTGATGGACAGATGGACCTTTACTTTCCTACATACTGAGGCTGGATTTCAGTCAAACCTGTATGTTTACACGCTCTCTTTGTTTAGTAAGAACTGCCCAAGCTCACATATAATTCTGAAAACCATCAAGCATCAACCTGTTAGAGGAGTCTGTAGTTGGATTTTTACAGTAGTGAAAACCATTCTATGATTTTATTTGATCATGGGGAAAATTAGCTGCTGTGCAAGCACTGCAAGGCAGGATAGACTGAATTGAGCCATGTAATGATGATGAATGAGTTCTACCTTGTCAGCGCATGAACAGACATATCCCCAGGCCATTTCACCTGAACAAAAATCATTAGTGATGAATAGCACACAGATACAGTGCCTTCAGAAAGTATTCATACCCCTTGACTTATTCCACATTTTGTTGTGTTACAGCCTGAATTCAATATAGAATACAAATAATAATAATAGCACCCAAATACACCAAATACCCCATATTGACAAAGTGAAAACGTATTTCTGCACATTTATTGAAAATGAAATACAGAAATATTTCCTTTACATAAGGATTCATGCCCTTGAGTCAATGCATGTTGGAAGCATCTTTGGCAGCGATTACAGCTGTGAGTCTTTCTGGATAAGTCTCTAAGAGCTGTACACACCTGGATTGTACAATATTTGCACATGATTATTTTAAAAATTCTTCAAGCTCTGTCAAGTTGATTGTTGATCATTGCTAGACAGCCATTTTCAAGTCTTGCCATAGATTTTCAAGACGATTTAAGTCAAAACTGTAACTACGTCACTCAGGAACATTCAATGTTGTCAATGTTGTCTTGGTAAGCAACTCCAGTGTATATTTGGCCTTGTGTTTTAGGTTATTGTCCTGCTGAAAGGTGAATTGGTCTCCCAGTGTCTGTTGGAAAGAAGACTGAACCAGCTTTTACTCTAGGATTTTGCCTGTGCTTATCTTTAGTCCGTTTATTTTTATAAAGAAAAAACTCCCTAATCCTTGCCGATGACAAGCATACCCATAACATGATGCAGCCTCCACCATGCTTGAAAATATGTAGAGTGGTACTCAGTGATGAGTTGTTTTGGATTTGCCCCAAACATAACGCTTCGTATACAGGACATGAAGTTAATTTCTTTGCCACATTTTTTGCAGTTTTACTTTAGTGCCTTATTGCAAACAGGATGCATGTTTTTTCCTATCACAAGCATTAAACTCTGTAATTGTTTTAAAGTCACCATTGGCCTCATGGTGAAATCCCTGTGCGGTTTCTTTCCTGAGTTAGGAAGGACACCTGTATCTTTGTAGTTACTGGGTGTATTGATACACCACCCAAAGTGTAATTAACAACTTCACAATGTTCAAAGGGATATTCAATGTCTGCTTTTAATTTTTTTTACCCATCTACCAATATGTGCCTTTCTATGCGAGGCATTGGATAACCTGCCTGGTCTCTGTGGTTGAATCTGTGTTTGAAATTCACTGCTCGACTGAGGGACCTTACAGATAATTGTATGTGTGGGGTACAGAGATGAGGTAGTCATTAAAAAATCATTTTAAACACTATTACTGCACACAGAGTGAGTCCAATGCAGCCTATTATGTGACTTGTTAAGCATATTTTTACTCCTGAACTTATTTCGGTTTGCCATAACAAAGGGGTAAAATACTTATTGACTCAAGACATTTCAGCTTTTCACTTTTAATGAATTTGTAAAAATGTCTAAAAGCAAATTTCCACTTTAACGTTATGGGGTATTTTGTGTAGGCCAGTGACACAAAATCTAAATTGTATCAATTTAAAATTCAGGCTGGAACACAACTAAATGTGGAAAAAAGTTAAGAGGTATGAATACTTTCTGAATAATCTGTAAGGAGACATTTTATTTTTTACCTCAAAGCCACAAAAGTACAAACCATTCATACATGGTGGACCCACAAGACGACGTGATGAATGATCCACATGCCTCGATATGTAAACTCATCCCCATCAAGACTTCACTGTCGCTATCCTCAAACCACCACCCATTGAAACCCCAAAGCCCCCTCATTCAGCCTAGACTCTTCTTTGGCACCGAGTGACGAGAGGTATTTCCAGGGAAACTAAGACACCATTGCGTGCCTAATCACTTGGCAGGCCTTCTGCGACTTCTACTGTTTTATTTTTTCTATTATCACAGGTAGAGATATTTATGTTCTGCCTGGATTTGTCTTTGGCCTACGTGCAATTCCTTCCAAATGTCAGTTGGAATGCCTGTGTGTCTTGGCTATTATGATAAATCAGGTATGGAGGGGAGTGGTATAACTCCTTTACTGGAAGTTACACCAGTAAAAAAGAGGGACACAGCACAGACTGGGCCAGCACAATTTGGAGGGCTGGAGGTGGAAGGACACTAACAAAATGGGTGTATTTTGAATCTACGACATCAACAATCTTACGTGCTTTTTTGCTTTAATGATCAGTTTCTCCGTTACTCTCTCTTCAACACCTACGTCTCAAAACTGAATGAACAATAACTCGCACGCACCTCAATTACCCCAGTTACCTCACACACACACCCTCCAATCTTCATAGGAAAGAGCCTCCCTATGCATTATCATCACCCTTGGAGTGCCAGAAACTTACAGACTGGCTTGCAGTTTTTCTATATGAATGAGTTGATACTTTACATTACTGTGAAGTTCAGGTCCATGTTAAACCATTATCTGTTGTTTCCTATTTCCATAACAGCATATCACTTTGGCTGTGGTATCCTGATAACAATTACAGTGTTTTTTTAAATGTATTTTTTTATTGACAAGCTTCATTGACAACATTCTAAATGGATATCATATCTGTATGAATTGAATTAAAAAATGTTGTACAGCTTTTAAAGACTATATTATATACAGAAGCTACTGTCTTAACTATTTAGAAAATCTATAGGTAAACAACTCTGATGTTGGTCCCAGTCAATGATGCTCTCTTTAGTCCAGATAAGAGTGGAGAATGTATGTAATCACACACTGTCCACTTAACCCTTCCTCATCGGTTGTTTAGGTTATGCCTTAACGATATCAATGTCATAATCATTTTACAACTAGGTCTATATTAAGAACAACAGTAATGATATGGTGCCTTTGTGTTTCAAATGTGTTTCTAAGTGATGGACCACTTGCCACTTTTTCCATGGCATTTTTAATGATCGATCCATGGTTTTCGTTGCATGTCAATGCAAGTGGAAGTTAGAGTTGGTGGACCTTGGCCTTGGATACAGGTGTTATGACAGGGTTGTAGACTTCTGTAACAACAACCACTATTGAACGTCTAACTGAGTTTTACTTTATTGTCTCACATTTCCAGGTGAAGGATTAGAATATTGATGCGCCCCGCCTGAACGCAGAATGGCACCAAGTATCCATTACGCATGGCGTTTCCATCATCTTTTTCAATCAATCAAGGGATCTATCTTGGACATTGTTATCAGACATTGCTCTTTGACCATATTGGTTACATAGACCTTTGTGTATAAAAGACAAGACATAGAGAACTGGCAATATCATTCGCACATGCTGACTTCATTTTGTACAGACTGTTACGTACAATCACCTCTCTTTTAAGGTAATAGACACTCACTTTCACACAAAAAATTGCTTTTTGCATTTCCTACGTTTAATAATCTAAAGCTATTTTGTTAGAAAACTCTTCTTCTGCGTAAAGGTATGGCAATGAGTGGATTGTTGGCGTGTGCCCTCATGGCAGCGCTAGTGGGGGTTGGTTTGACATCGCCCGTATCCAAGTCGGATGGCAACACCAAACAGGGTGGGATACTGCCACAGCTACTGGCCAGGAGGGAGGCAGTGAGGAATGCTGCAGAGAACGTCGCTAGGCGGGAGCAAGACACTCAAATGAGCATGGCACGGATGGAGAGGATGGCGCACCTGTCGGAGGACCAGCGCGAATTAATGTCCAAGCAAATCATGCAGGCCATCTCAGGTACGTGGTGGTTTCGATTTAAGTGCGTGCGCGCGCGTGTGTGTGTGTGTGTGTGTGTGTCTGTGAGAGAGAGAGAGGGGGGAGGGGGGGTGAAGTGTATCGTTGTTCGCGCTTGAGCACTTTAAACGCACATTGAACTTTTCTGTTTGGTTCATGTAAGTTTGTTTTGTTCGCAGAGATGATGAACGAGTGTCCGGACCGAGACTACCAAGGATGGGTAGACTTTGGACGGCGAGGTGCAGAGTAGAGACATACCACAGGCCAACTGAGGAACGTCTGCCTGCACTGGCGTTACTCAGGAATATTTACATTGGTTTATGTCATTTTACTTTTGCTTTTAATCCAAGTGTCATAATAAACATGTTTGCAGTATGTATGTCTACGGACTTTCTTGTTTTTGTTTAGGACATTGACCGGTTTCCACGGACACAGAATATACATTGAGTGTACTTTTAAGTCTAGGACAAAGCTTAATGTGTCCGGGAAACCGGCCCTTCGAGCAGAAAAATAACACACATGCACGTGTGCCTGATGGAAATACAATGTACTTTTTAATTTACAAGTGGTACAATTCATACACACATACAACTCAGCGATTATAAAATATAATTCAGCAAAAAGTAGTCAATTTCAACTGTTTGGTTCATTTTCTTCTGAATACAAATTGTAGTAATTTGCTATCATTTTCCCTTTTGATCTGCAGTATCCTACGCCTTTTATATACAATTGATTATCCAGACAGCCCAAAAAGTATCCAAAAAATGTAGTCCATGATCATTTGGTTTTTGTACCTTTCTTTTTTCCCGTGACACTTTGCTTGTATTTCTTTTTCCTCGTAAGGTATTAGTGCAATCACTGGAGGAATTAACTTTGAATGCCCAACTTAATTTTTTCATACAGCTAACTTTCATTATTCCTGATGACATTGAATACATTTGTAACAACAAGACTTTAGTTTAAGGTCTGTTAACACATATCCAGCACATACACTAGTCCCAATACCTTTTGCTGTCACCTTCTGTTGTCTTTGATACAGCATGGTAGACTACCTGAATGCTTTTGGTGAGGTTCGAATAAATGCACAAGTTCACAATGACTGACATAATTGACAGCATTTCGAAGTAAAGCATTTTACAATGACTTGCAGCAGGTGATGTGTGATGCCATGCAAACGCACAGTACTGCTAGTGCTAAATGAGGACATTTGGGGAAAGAGCAGAGTAGTATACCTCAGTGAATGTCAATAATGTCACAAACTTTCAGTAAGTTCAGTCAGTGTATCAGTCCCTCCACCATTCTGTAATGGGGAGTGATTGAAGTGTTAGTGGTTTTACCACAGTAAAGTGAATGTGGTTAATACCCACAAATGCTTCATTTTCTAATAGCAGCTATTTATTGCAAAAGGACATACTGAATTCCAGTGCATCTTGGGGTTTTTAAGTGTGACAAACTAACCGCTGTGGTCAATTTGGTGGTTCTTAAATAACAATACCTTGAATCTTTCCCAACATAATGAATAGGTAATGTGATTGTATTTGATGGTATTAACAAATTATTATAGAAAACATATGGTGGGGTTCTTTCAACAACAAAAAAACACCACGAGAAGCACCATTCCCTTACTTTCATACCGTGTAAAACCATCGACACCCACGAAACACAGGTAGAAAAAAGCAACGCATGTTTCTCAACTTTTTATTTTATAAAAACACTAAAACCCTTCCGCGTGTTCAAGCCAGCCGGAGCGGTGATCAGGTGATTCTCCTGAGAATGATCATGATGTCACACATTGTCGTGGAGACCTAGTACCTAGTGACTGTAAACGTAACAGAATGTCAAGAGGTGATGTGTACGCGGCGAGTGAAGTTAGACGCAGGACACAGAGAATCGGGTTGACTACTTTACTGAGCGTTACGCACAAAACAAATGTCTCCAACACTGGAGGGAAAAAACACCATATGTGTAATCCGAAGAAGTAGCTAGGCCGAACATCAACAAGACAATGAACAATAACACACAAAACCCAAACGTGAAACAAGGGAAATTAAATGCTAAACAATAAACACTAATAGGCAACAGGTGTACTAATCTAGACAAAACAAGACAAACATCGATCGGCAGTAGCTAGTACTCCGGGGACGACGAACGCCGAAGCCTGCCCGAGCAAGGAGGAGGAGCAGCCTCGGCAGAATCCGTGACACAGAAACTCAAAATATGTCGCTATGGTTCTCCCGAGGCTCCATTTTACAATGTATTGCTGTGGGCCCGAAACACAAAATGGCGGTACAGTGGCATAGCCAGCATGTGGATTGAAGTCAATGACGATTGAGGAGGAAGGGGAGAAGGAGGGGGGAGGGAGTTCTCCCAGTCGTTCTCAGACTCTAGGTGGATGTCTGTATTGCCTGACTGCTTCTCTCTCCTCTCCGTTCTCTCTCCAGTCCACCACCCATCGGGCCGCCACCTTGTGAAGTCCCAGACTCCTCAGCTTGCCTACCAGGTTGAAGCTGAAAATGTTCCTTCTCCCTTCTTCCTCCATCTTGAATGTACCTCCATCCTGATCTTCCTCTGCCGTTGTGGGGCGTGTGTGGGCTGTGAGTGGGGTCAGTTGGTGGTATGGGTAGGGGACGGTGGAGCCGGAGATGCCCTGCTCCTCCAGCAGCCTTAGGAGTCCTAGTGATAGAGGAGGTGCTGGGGTGGAGGTGGAGTGGTGGCCGCCGCCCTGGCTAGGGTCAAAGATCAGCCCACAGTGCTGCTGATTGGAGGAGGAGGGCGACGTGGTGCTCAGATGCTCAAAGCTCCCAGAAGCGGACAGGCTGCAAATACAGGAAAAGAGAAAAAGACCAAATCAGACACAGCAGTGCTGTTATCACACATCCAATGAGATACTCAGCTAGTCATTTGCCTACTTAAACATACAAAATAAACACACAGCTATAAGCTATAAGCTTAGCAGCATTAGTAACAGTGCATCATTAGTTAAGAGTGGTTAGTTAGTTTAGTTGCCTGTAAGGGTGGATTAGAGATGATGTTAGTCAGTTCAATAGTCAGCCTGAGAACAGAAAAGAGGATTGCCGTTGGGTCGTGCAGTTTACCTGGAAGAATCTGGAAGGGATCAGGAACTGGTAGTTTTGTTTATGAAGTAGATTCAAGATAATGGACCAAATCCTTAATAGAGAAGCAGGCATTAAAATGTTGGAATGGGAAACCTGTGTGTATTAAAGTTTGAGTTACATGTGTGTATCTTAAATTAGGATTTGGCCCCAATAATCTAATACTAAAGAACATCAAATTGTTTTATGCATGGGAAGTTGAATCATTGTCATAGCTGCGAGTGCATTCATTCCGTTACTTTGTAGTAGTGTTTGTTCAAGGCTCAGCATGGGGATATGATCAATAATTTTACTTAGGGGTTGGGTGGGGTCAGAGTTAGAAGGGGAGTGGTTTAGAAAAGTTAGGGGATAAATATATAATTTTCCTGCATCATTCCCAAGATGTCCATGCCTGTTGGATCTTACTTTGTCTATGAAGCCCACTTTAGAGCTGAAGAAAGTGCTTGGACCATCAATCAATCAATCAATTTTATTTTATATAGCCCTTCTTACATCAGCTAATATCTCGAAGTGCTGTACAGAAACCCAGCCTAAAACCCCAAACAGCTAGTAATGCAGGTGTAGAAGCACGGTGGCTAGGAAAAACTCCCTAGAAAGGCAAAACCTAGGAAGAAACCTAGAGAGGAACCAGGCTATGAGGGGTGGCCAGTCCTCTTCTGGCTGTGCCGGGTGGAGATTATAACAGAACCATGCCAAGATGTTCAAAAATGTTCATAAGTGACAAGCATGGTCAAATAATAATCAGGAATAAATCTCAGTTGGCTTTTCATAGCCGATCATTAGAGTTTAAAACAGCAGGTCTGGGACAGGTAGGGGTTCCATAACCGCAGGCAGAACAGTTTAAACTGGAATAGCAGCAAGGCCAGGCGGACTGGGGATAGCAAGGAGTCACCACGGCCGGTAGTCCCGACGTATGGTCCTAGGGCTCAGGTCTCTCAGTTGGCTTTTCATAGCCGATCATTTAGAGTTGAAAACAGCAGGTCTGGGACAGGTAGGGGTTTCGTAGCCGCAGGCAGAACAGTTGAAACTGGAATAGCAGCAAGGCCAGGCGGACTGGGGGCAGCAGGGTGTCATCATGCCCGGTAGTCCTGACGTATGGTCCTAGGGCTCAGGTTCTCAGAGAGAAAGAGAGAACGAGAGAATTAGAGAGAGCATACTTAAATTCACACAGGACACTGGATAAGACAGGAGAAGTACTCCAGGTATAACCAACTAACCCCAGCCCCCCGACACATAAACTACTGCAGCATAAATACTGGAGGCTGAGACAGGAGCGGTCCGGAGACACTGTGGCCCCATCCGAAGAAACCCCCGGACAGGGCCAAACAGGAAGGATATAACCCCACCCACTCCGCCAAAGCACAGCCCCCGCACCACTAGAGGGATATCCCCAACCACCAACTTACAATCCTGAGACAAGGCCGAGTATAGCCCACAGAGGTCTCCACCACAGCACAAACCAAGGGGGGGGGGGGGGCGCCAACCCAGACAGGAAGATCACGTCAGTAACTCAACCCACTCAAGTGACGCACCCCTCCCAGGGACGGCATGAAAGAGCACCAGCAGGCCAGTGACTCAGCCCCTGCAACAGGGTTAGAGGCAGAGAACCCCAGTGGAGAGGGGAACCGGCCTGGCAGAGACAGCAAGGGCTGTTCGTTGCTCCAGCCTTTCCGTTCACCTTCACACTCCTGGGCCAGACTACACTCAATCATATGACCTACTGAAGAGATAAGTCTTCAGTAAAGACTTAAAGGTTGAGACCGAGTCTGCGTCTCTCACATGGGTAGGCAGACTGTTCCATAAAAATGGAGATCTATAGGAGAAAGCCCTGCCTCCCGCTGTTTGCTTAGAAATTCTAGGGACAATTAGGAGGCCTGCGTCTTGTGACCGTAGCGTACGTATTGGTATGTACGGCAGGACCAACTCGGAAAGATAGGTAGGAGCAAGCCCATGTAACAGCGTTTCCTACCACTGAGGGGAGAGACATGTGGTAAGGAGAGAGGGATTGAGTAAGGGAGGAGAGAGAAGGACTGCTATACACACAAAGTAGCAAGGTACTTTTGAGGAGAGAAATGGGGCAGCACAGCAAAGCTGCTATTGTTTTCAGAGTGGTGTATTGTAAATACCGTTTCACGTTATTACTAATATTGGTCTTTGGTTTAATGAATGAATGAATTAACGATTGAATGAATACCAAAAGGCAAATTAATGAAAAATAAATGGATTTCACTTCATTTTACAGTCCACTACCTGGGGATAAAA